ACACAAGATTACAAGTTTCTAACTATCTCCCCAGCCCGCTATGTAGTTCAATCTAGCCTTGAACTCAATGCGTAGCTCAGCCTGGGATTGCCTCCAAGCACTGGAATTACAGGCACATGCCACCATACCTGATTAAGCTTAATTCTTTACACCTATACCTTCAACACCCTCACGAAATACCAATTCTTTCTCATCTTCATTAGCAGGCACACTGAACAAACTAAAAAAGATACTGATTAAAAGTGAAACAAAATGGAGTATGAGATGTAGTTCAGTGATAAGGTGCTTGACTGACATAAGACCCTGAGTCAATATCCCCAGCAATACACGCATAGAAGTGCACATGTGCATACACATGCACACATGCATACATACACATACACACACACAATGAGAAAAGGGGCAAGCAGAAGGTTACTGGTACAATTACAAAGAAAACATTTTTATATAAAAATTTTATTCAGCCAGCGATGGTAATGCACACCTGTGATCCCAGCAATCGGGAAGCTGAGGCAGGAAGGGGATTGCTGTAAGTTTGAGGCCAGCCTGAACTGCATCACAAAAAAGAAAATATTATTTGATAGCAATTTATGTACAGGAAACAATATTTAATTAAATATTACTATGAAAATACAAAGATGGAGAACGTAGTAAAAGTAAATGGAAAAAAAAAGGACTTCTGACCTTTCATATCCACACAGCACCTTGTGGCAAACTTAGGCCTCTCCTCCCTTGCCAGTTAAGATCCTACCACATTTATCACTTCAGTTTGACACTTAGGGAGAATCAGACCTAATGCCACTGGGTCAAGTGCCAAGTAATCTATAAAGTGAAATATAAAGCAAGCAAAGAATCTAGAAATTCAGGAAAGAAACAGGGTAACAGTCTGTTCACCTAGATCTCAACTCTAAAAATGGTTTGTCCACTGACTGATTTAACAAATGTTAGTAACCAATACATAGCAGGCACTGTTGTAGTACAATATTAGAATACAGCTAGGAGCCCAATATTCAAAAATCTAAACCATGAGAAACCTAAATGTCAAAAGATGGCAAGAACAACGATCAAATGTATCAGGAGGCTGCAAGCATTATGAAGAAAATTAAGTATGGAAGCAGGGAGTATAGGAAACAGATGAAAGTTTAGATATAGCAGCCAGGAGTGTCTCACCAAAAAGGCATCATTTGAGAAAATAAGTAAAGAAGTTAATTTAGCAAATTTTACATCTGGAAAGAGTAATGCAAGCAGAGGAAAGTCCTAAGCCTGTGCTGGAGAAGAGAACCTTTTAGAGCTTTCAATGATAACAAAAACCCAGCTGCTCCCACAGGTTCAGCACCACTGGTCTAAGGTTTGTGGGTAAAAACAGAAAAGATGGTCAGAGTGAAATGAGCCAAAGTTGACAGCAGAGTTCAGAGCTAAACAGTGCATACTGGGAGAAAGGAGACACAGCATATACACACAGCCTTGTACTCTTTAAAAGACCTGGGCTTTTACTCTTAGGCACAGAGGCAATCACTAGAGTTCCAAGCAAAGGTTGTTTTTGTTTTTGTTTTTTTTAAAGTAGCTCCTACTTTAAAAGCAGGTTGTAAGTAACAATGGGGGGAGGCATCATTTAGAACAAGATAGTGAAAATGGTTAGATTCTGGATATATTTTGAAGGTAAAGTCAATAAGATGTTCTGACAAGTAAGAATGGGTATAAGAGAAATGTAGGAGAATCATGAATGACCAAAGCTTTTGGCACACACAACAGAACAATGAATTTGCCAATCAACTGAGATGGGAGAGTAGGAGACAACAGACTTAAGGCAGACCAGCTCAGTTTTAGAAGACTGAAACATTACACACTCAGAAGAGCTGCTGAGTAGGCAGCTGAATACATGACTCTGAAGTTCAGATAAACAAATTATCAAACAGGTTTAGTTAAAATGCTTTAAGTTTCTTACCTGACTTTGTCTTTCAAGGATTTGGACCTCTAACAAATGCAATATCACATGGCAACTGGTTGAATACAACAGTAAAACAAAAACCCTGTACTCAGTAGTGCTATCCTATTCTCTTGGTACACTGCTGTGGGAAGTGCAATTTTGGGGGAATGCTGACATGATCTCCCTGAGAATACATAGTACCAGTAACAGACATCCCAGAAAAAAATGAACTTAGTCACAATTCTACCTTTACCATCTTAGCTTCCACCCCAGATTCCACTTTTACTGAGGGCAGTGTTAGCACTGCTACACCAAACATCCTCATGAAACTTATGACCAATAACCAGGTAAAGATGTTTGAAACCATACTGCTAATGTTTTAGCTTACTTTTAGTTTTTCAATAATTCAATTTCCTCATTCCTTTTTTTACCAGCTATAAAAGTGACCTACACCTGAGAATATTTTACAATTTTAGAAAGTCCCAAAACTTATACTCAGTGTACAATTTTGTGCTTAGTATACACACTATGGAGATCATTTTTAATGCATGAAATCAATAAGCCATAATACACAGCACTGCATCTATTGAAATCTGAGGAACATAAAGCAGGCAAAAAGGGAAAAAAATAGAGATTGATTTTCAGTACATGTAGACTAGGTTTTTATCTAATACAATGTAAACAAGGTTTTTTAAAACTTTTTAATATTTCAGTGTTCACAAATCAGAGTGTGACTACTCAATAAAGACAGTTGCATAACTTTTGTGAAACTATTCAAAATGACATCGTAAAGTTTGAGGTCAAAAATATTTTCTGATAACCAAGACAGAACCAAATTATCAAGAACCACATATAAACAATCCTTAGCCCTAAGAATTCAGACATTATGGGGTGGCAATGGCCATCTTAACAAAAACTTACAAATGAAACAAGACCAATCTAACACTGGCCCTGGCAAGAGCTTTTGTTCATCATTAAAATGAAGCCAGGTGTGGTGCAGCACAAACCTATAATCCAGCACCCTGAGAGACTGAGGCAGAAGAAATCACCCCAATATGGACAATCTAGACTTTCTCTCAAAATTTAAAATAAAAAAAGACCTGGGGATGTACTTCAGTGTGAAGGTAGTATGTTCAATTCACAGTACCACAAAGGAAAAAAAAAAAGTTTTAAAGCACAAAGAAGTTCAAGGTCAGACATTCAAAAGAACTAATGATATGTGGAATGAAGTAATAGGCAGCAATAAGAACAAGTCATAAAGACAAGAAATAACACAGCAAGGAAAAAACATAGCTAAGGCCAGCCAGATAGCTCAGCAGACTAAAACACCAGCTTAGGCAGTAGTGCAAGGGCTGGGGTTCAATCCCCAGCACCACAAGCCCTGCCAGCCCCACCTCAGGAGCACACCGAGATGGCAACTGAGACTGGGCATGGTGGTACACACCTATAATCCCAGCTTTTGAGAGGTTGAAAAGAGGTGGATCACTACAAGTCTGATCTACGTAGTGAGGCCCCATAGACCCTATAGTAAATACAAAAAAAAAAAAAAAAGCTAAATCATATTTTTTTTCTTTGCTTGTTTGTTTGCGGAACCGGGGATTGAACTCAGGCCCTTGCACTTCCCAGGCAAGCTCTTATTCTACTGAGCTATCTCCCCAGTCCTTTCTTTTCTTTTTTTTTTTGTTTTTTTTTGGTTTTTTTTTGTTTTGTTTTGTTTTGTTTGCTAAATCATATTTCAGCCCAAACAAAGATTATCTGCTATTGCTCCAAACAGAATTTATCTTTAAGGGCTGGCCAAATAGTTCAGCAGTCTAAAGGGCCTGGTTAGGCAGAGCACAACAGTCAGGGTTCGACCCCTGGCGTGCCATGCCTGATGGCACACGCCTGTAATCCCAGCTATTGGGAGGTTGAAAAAGGTGGATCACTACGAGCCTGATCTATGTAGTGAGAACCTGTAGACTCTGTACAAAATACATTTTTCAAAAAATTATCTTTACTGTCATATATGGTCACATATGACTGTTAACCCCAGTACTTGAAGGCTGTGTGGCAGAAGGATCATCATGAGTTTGAAGCCAGCCTGGGCTACATAATCAAGTTCAAGGCCACCCTGCACTATACACTGAGACTGTACCTGAAAAAAAAAAAAATATGTTTACTAACCCCAAAATTTTCTTAATGAAAATAAGTATTAAAGCAATTCCCCCCCCAAGAAAGGTAAATACCCTACTGAAATAACTCAAACTACAAAATCTAACATACTGAAGATTCAAGTAAATGTTTTGTGAAATAATTCACAAGGTCAGTAACTAGGGAAAAAACGCTGCTCTCATATGCATCATGTAACAGCTCTGAACTAATATTCCATATATCCTTGGGAGAGCAATAAAAACACAATACATACACATCATAACTTGAACTATGGAATAAAATGGCTAAGTGAAATCAGATCTATGAAGTTTGCAAACATTCACTACATAACATATGTATTTAATGTCAGCATTTTCAAGGTCAGTATTATGTTTGTTCCACTTCTTGGAGTCACACATTTTTGTGATATTTTTAACATCTGACTAAAGCCTCTATCATCACAAGATGCTTGCACTGTTTACAAACACTGAGAAATAGCAGCTGGTGTTCCTAAGTCACATCTTGGTGCAATAAAGTGTTACAGTTTTAAAGACCAGGTGTACATTTTTTGCTAATATGCAGTAAGTTTGTGTTAACTTTTCTCCCCTTATATGTACACAAGAAATAAAAGATATGTACACAAATGTAGGCAAATTGGTATAAAGTTGATGAGCTCAAAAATATATAGGTTCTTAGGCATGCACACTCAAGAATACAGCTATAGGGCCAGAAATACTGCTCAGAGGCACAGCACCTGCTTGGCAAGCGTGAGGTCCTGAGTTTGATTTCCAGTACCCTCAACCTCTCCAATCAAAACAGCAAGAATATAGCTATCATGCTGAATGAAGTCAGTGCTAAATAATACTGACCACTTATACTTTTCCTGTCATATTTAATGCCTTTTCCTATCGCATTCAAAACAATGCAGAAAACAGAAACTTACCCACACAAGCACTGAGGAATAGCCAATCAGTCTTTTTCATCCTGTTTTTAATTTGCTTTAGTTTTTTGAAGTCCACTTCAAGTTCCTCTTTGCTTCCAACAGCACCAGCAAATTCAATCCTCTGAAAATCCATTTTCACTTCTGAGTCTCGTTTTGTAGTAGGTGGTGATCTTCTTTGGCTATTACCACTACTGCAGCTTCCCCTCCATCGAGCTCTGTCTTGCTCATTTATTATTGAAGAAGCCTCTTCAGTTTCTGCCAACTCTATTGCTTCAATGTTATTAGGCCTGGGGTGATCACAAACCACACACTTTTTAGCCTTGGCCCAATTTTCATATGTGCAAATAGAACAAATCCAATGTTGGGTCCTTGTGTTCAGTTTATTTCTATCATTGTATTCCTCACAAGGATCAACAGAAAAAGCAACTGGTCTTGAGCCAGATCCTGAGGATTGAGGAGATTCTGTGGGACTCCTGGTCCTACGCTGGGATAAGCACTGGGTACATCTGATTGCTCTTGGCCAGTTCAAGTATGTGCACATATGGCATGACCATTTATTTGCATTTTCCATACTGTATGAAGACTTAACCCTTGGTCTTGCACTAGAATCTGGACATATCAAAGGACTACTTCCTCCTTCAGTGCTGGAAGGATCCCAATCTCTACCAACATCACTTGAACCACTTTTAAATGGATCTTCCGTAATAATTGTTCCACTGGGCCTTTGGGCACGACACATAGTGCATTTGATTGCAGATGGCCAGTTTTCATACGTACAATATTCACAAGCCCACTTAATTCCGCGTTCTGACATTGTGCACTTCTTGAAGAAAGTTATGTCAGGCAGGAAGCTACAAATAATTAGGACATGGTTATTAAAATATCTACATAATTCTATCTCTAAAAATTTTCAAAAAATAAAAACATATTTCAACTTATAAAATATACATTTCTCACAAGATACATGAAAAATTTCAGACTGAATTATTCTACTTTTCTTTTTGAGTTTCAAAGAGATATCAGAGATAAATTCCCAAAGAAATCTCTTGGACCTTGGGATGTAATATAACTACTTTAGAATGACAAAGGAACAGTTGGGAAATATTTGTCCCAAATGGAAAGGAAGATTACAATAGGAATACCACTAATAAAAATGTTTAATTTCAGCTCAGCCATCATTATCTAATTTAGGAAAGCAATCAACAGTTAAAGACTCAAAGGGAAGGGAAAGAACATAAACCAAGAAATAACTCAAATACAACCATTCTCAAATTACAAACATCAATTATACTATCTAGATACCATTAATTCAGAAATTAAGAATACCAAAGAAATCTTCTATGATTCCTGCTAAAGGAGAAAAACACCCTAATAGTGCTAATTGTTCACTGCTTTTAATTAGCACAGGCAGAAAAAAAATTAAGGAATAAACACCACAATTAAGAAAGTAACATTATGATACAAAGAAGCTTCTTTCATACCCTGTTTCCTCAAAATCTAGTTGTATCTGGGGAAGAAAAAAAAAAAAAAAAAAATCAACACTACATAGCACCTATAATTGGGAAACTCAAACTGTCAGAACATCTATAACTGTTAGCATAATGAAACTAATATAATTTTGAATAATCAGTCAATACTTGAAATTTTTAAATATTTAAAATTCAATTCATATTAAAATATATTCATGATTTAAAAGTTCCTAGGGTCTCCAGATAGCTCAGCGGATTAAAGTACCTGCTTAGGCAGACGGGGGGGGGGGGGATATTCCTGGCCTGCCATGCTGGCCCCACTCCTGTGGAAACCATGACAGCAATTAAGACTGGCTGGGCATTGTGGCGCACACTTGTAATCCCAGCTTTTGGGAGGTTGAACAGGTCTGTGTAGTGAGACCCTGTAGACCCTGTACTAAAAAAAAATAAAAAATAAAATAAAAGTTCCTAGGAGCTATCCCAGCACTCCGAAGGCTAAGGCAGGAGAATTACTACAAGTTCAAGGCCTGCCTGGTGTACTTAATGAGTTCAAGATCAGCCTGAAATACATGTGAGAAACTTAGCTCAGAAAAAAAAAAAGTTCCTAGAATTTATAGTGGGCTTACTAACATCACACTATGCTAAAGATGTTATTTAGTGAAAAATAATTCATAAATGAACTTATTAACCTCTGTTTGCTTAAATCCTTCCTCAACTCACTATCACTTATTTTTAATAAGGAATAAATCTTAGGCAGAGTAACAGTATTTCCAATTTCTTAGGGATTTTTCCTAAACATGAAAATTTAATCTTTCACTTTTGAAAATGTATTGTGCTCTTGCTTGCTAAGTCCACACTCCAGAGTGTGAACTCTGATTTGGACACTTTCACTATTAGAAAGGCTACTATTTAATAACTAAAATAAAAATCACTTACTAAGATTTTAGTTTCCATGCTACAACCTCCACCTTGTACATGGTTAGAATAAAAGTACAGTTACAAATCAGATCAAAGACAAGTTTCAGTCTTCATGCTGGCTCAGACTCTGACTTCCACAGGAGATACTGCAGAATGTGTAAGGTTCTGACTCTGAATAGCTTATTCCTGTAAAGGAGACCAAAATTTCACTTACAGGCTGCTAACTTACCTAAAAGTATTTTTATAAAAAGGTCTAATTTTTAATCAATCTCATTTTATTTTCACTTATTTTAATGATTATAGTGAGAATTTTAAATTGGTATAGCAATAGAAATATCTAATTCATTGGGCTAGTCAGTCAAATTAGACATGGGAAAGACATCTTTCTACATAATGTTAAGTCTGTATCTCTGTGTGTCTCTGTATGGGTACACATGATACACAAAGCACTATTACTGTTAATACTAACCAAGCTAAGTCAATTGCTACCTGTAGTATTTGTATAGCTAAAATGAGAAAGGTGATATAATCTAAATAAGCACAAAGTGGAAAAAAAAAAAGCATGACTATAATTAGCTTTGAAATCTTTCTCCCCTTCAGCAGTTACATTTTCTCATACTCAGGAAATTTATTTTAGTAAACCTTTTCAAATTTAGTTTATACACAATGATTACACACAATTTGACAGCAATTCAAAAGCGTAATAGATAATGGCATCTGAAGTACACAACAGGTTTAAGGGCAATTTTCACTTTCTTTAGGCAATTTCTTTAGTTTGTTTTGAATGAAATATAAATTAACTTCATCTATTGGAAATCACAATGAGCATGTAGAAATTTGGCATTAGCAAGACCAAAGACCATATTGAACATATACTGAACATATACTGAGATTACTACAGTTTCAATATTTCATTTTTTAATAATCACAAAGAAATCTATACTTGCTTTGATAAAATATTCCTCTGATGTGTTTGTTGGTCCAAGTAAACAGCCCATGATCTTATCTTAGCTAATATTCAGGAACTAATGCACTGGCAAATACACTTGAATGTCCAAGGCTGACTATCCTTAAAAAAAATCATATGGGGTTATGGCTGCTTGTGGAAGAACGTAGGTTCAACCCACAGCACAAAAAATTTAACGAATATATCTTCATCATAATCAATGTTACATATACTTGGTAAATAATGGACAAATATTTTAGCTGCCTAGTTAGCCTACTTGTTTTATAAATCTAGGTTAACTAAGCAATACTGAACCAACCTCAAGAGTCTTAAAAGAATATATTAGATAATGATGTATAGAATCCACTCTCTGGGGCATAAAAACTTTGTAGGAATACTGTGTTATTTAAAAGTATTATTAGAAAGTCATTTGTACCTGTGGCAAGATGACTTGTAAATGGAATGAAAAAAATAAGGTGACATCAACTTAACTATGCAGCTTTTCCATTACTGAGAAATTAAGTGTTCTTCTTCCAGATGTTAAAATATTCCAAAAGGTATATAAAATTATTTTAAAAGTAATCAGTTCTAAGGAATTAATACTGCATCATAACACTGTTATTAAATATCATTTTTAAGCCAGGCACTGTGCCTGCAAGCAGGCGCAGGGGCCAGGAGTTCGGTCCTGGGGCCTGCCATGCCGCCCCCACCCTCAGGGTGCACTGAGACAGCAACTGAGACTGGGCATGGTGGCGTGCACCTGTAATCCCAGCTCTTGGGAGGCTGTAAATAAGCAAATCACTATGAGTCTGATCTAGTAGTGAGACCCTGAACACCCTGTAGACCCTTCTCTAAAATACAAAAGAAAAAAAAAAAAAAAAAAGTCAGGCATAGTGGTACACACCTGTAATCCCAGCACTCAGACCAAGGCAGAAGGATCACAAGTTCAAGGCCAGCCTTCAGGCCAGCCAGGGTTAATTAGTTCAGAGCCAGCCTCAACTACACAGCAAGATTTTGTCACACACACACAGTACGAATGTATATATTAAAGTGTATTAAATTAACATATATTCATATGCCAAGTTGATTTATTTCTAATTCTCTATGCAATATAATTTCTAAATTTGGGCTGGGGAGACAGCTCAGTGGTCTAAGCACCTGCCTGGCAAGGACCTGAGTTTGATCCCTGGTACCACATGCTGTGCTGGCCCCAGAACCCTTGGCATGAAGGGCAGGCCACTGAAACCAGGCATGGTGGCACACACCTGTAATCCCAGGGCTGAGGAGGCTGAGACTGGAGGATCACTACGAATCCAACCTGTGTAGGGGAGACCATGTACCAAATAAATAAAAATTTTTAAAAATACTATAGGGGCTTGCAGGTTAGCAGTTGTTTAAAGCGCCTGCTTGGGCAAACTCGGGCGCAAAGGACCACAGTTTGATCCCCAGCTCCCCAACCACACCAGACCCACCCTTAAGGCAGCCTGAGCTAGCCCAAAAAAATAAAAAATTCTAAATTCTACCCAAGGAATCATATAATTGGTACAATCAAATCTGCACAATCAGCACATCTTCAAAGAGAACTAGACACAACTGCTTTTATGTTCTGTTGTTTCTGTAGACAGGGTCTCCCTATGTAATCCAAGTTGATCTCTTAACTCACAGTATTCCTGCCTCAGCCTCCACAGTATCAGTATTATACCTAAGTGCTACTCTTAAAACAAATATTCTTTGGGTCAAATAAAATACCAAGTTTTCATCCAGTGCACAAAAAAGCCTAGAAATTATTTGTGTATCAAACCCTACCTATAGAATGAACGAAGTCTCCAAATACATCAACAATTTTACATTTTAAATTCACACTGCTTTATTTTTAAACATATTTGGTTGTTAGAGGGTCTCACTACACAGCTCGGACTCACAGTGCTCCTCCTGTTTTCAGCCTCTTCAGAGCTGTGATTATAAGCTTGCACCACTACACCCAGACTCTCCAGCCAGCTCAGCTGGCCATGGGGGCGGGGCTGGCACAGCATGTGGTGTCCGGGGTTGGCTTGCCTAAGCAGGTGCTTTACTCCACTGAGCTATCTCACCAGCCCCACAATGCTTTTAATTATATACTTCCCAAATCAAATAATAAAAGCACAAGCATTATCGTCCATATTATTAATGGCTGAATAAGTGACAAATAATTGTATATGTAATAATTGTATATGCTCATGTTCAATGAGTTAATTAAACCATAGTTACAAGGCATTCCCCTACAAGCATATCTATCTTGAAGTCAATTTCTTAAAAATTACAGCTATCGAAGCTGGTGAGATGGCTCAGTGGTCTAAAGCACCTACTTAGAACAAGGACAAGCTAAACTAAGCAAAAGCGCAGGGACCGCGGTTCAATCCCCAGCACCACATGCCAGCCAGCCCCGCCCCCTGGTGGGCTGAACTGGCCACACACACACAAAATAAATAAATAAATAATTTTTTAAAAAAATTACAGCTATCATGCAAAACCCCCTATCCACATGCTACAAAAAAAAAAAAAAAAAAAAAAAAAAAAAAAAAAAAAAAAAAAAAAACCTAAGAGAATCAAGAAAGTAAAGCAACCTACTGTAAATTCCTTAAATATTTCCAGGTAATTTTCAAGTAGTTTTAAGTGATTAGAAATTATCCAAAGGAAGGGCTAACAGCAACAGCCTTCTGACAGACTATTAGCTTAATATAATGTATTACTAAAAATCTGTAGGCTTACAAATCTGTGGAATTTTATAAATGTTCACACAACATCTTAGAATAGTACAAATGTAAATTAAAACGGAAAAGGATATTCATAAAAGCATTATCTAAATTTCAGGTTCTGTTAAAATGTTACAACATAATTGAATTGAGGGCCGTCCAGACAGCTCAGCAAATTAAAGCACCTGCTCAGGAAGAAGCAGGGAGCAGGGCTTTGATCCCTGGCCTGTTGTGCCTGTGCCAGCCCCGGTCCCTGGCCCACCTCCAGGGAGTGCTGATTGAGACTTGGCATGATGTCGCATGCCTGTAATCCTAGCACTTGGGAGGCCAGAAAAACAGGAAGGATCACTACAAGTCCTATATGCATAGTGAGACCCTGTAGACCCTGTACTAAATACATAAAAAAAGTAATTGAGTTGTAAAACTTAATTTTAAAAAATTAAAAAGGGGCCAGGGACATGGCTCTGTGGAATAAGCGCTTCCCTGGCAAGCGCCAAGGGCCTGAGTTCAATCCCCGGTTCCGCCAAAAAAAATAAATTAATTAAATAAAAAATAAAAAGAATTACCTAAACCCTAAACAAAAATTCCCACATAAGTCATCATCTCTTATTCTCAGCATTATATTCCTACATCACTGTCTTCCTCATAAGAATCACCAGAAATACTACCCAAAAATCTTGGAGACGGATGATATATCCACAAATCTTACCCCATTTCAGGACTCCAACAACTTATCAACACTTCATTGAACTTTTTATCTTCCTCCCATGACAATGTCCTATCCCGACTTCTCTAGTTTCCACTTGTTATGGCCTACACCTAGCTGTCACCTCAAAGCCTTGTGCAGTCCACGCAATGCGCTTTTCAAAGGTGAGTGGGATTAAGTGTGTGATGCTGGGATCAAGGGTATGTGATTACTAAATTAGTCCATTGATTGCCTTGGCATACTTTTCTGGGTGTGGATAATGGAAAGGCCCACCCTGGGGCATGTAGTCTGGATATAAGATAAGGGACAGAAAGAAGGCTACTGTTGTCATTTGCTGCTTTGCTGCATTCTACCTACCACAGACTCTTTCTCCTCTGCAATGCCCCTTTGCCATACCATCCTGCCTTTGACATAGCCAACTATGAACTGAAATCTCTACGAATTATGGACTACAAAAAACAAAAACCTTTCCTCCTTTAATTAACTTTTGGTGTCAGGAGTTCTGTCTCACCAACAAGAAAAATAATAAAGACACTAATCATATCCCCAGCAAAGAAACAGCATCACTTGAATTCAGCTTTCTGCCCAATGATTTCATTCCAATCAATTTTTTTTTCCCATCTCTACCACCAATCTTTTCTCAGTTCTGCTCAGAACTACTATAACAATCTTCAAGCTTCTTTGCTTTTCAAATCTATCCATGTACTTCCAGAACAATCCTCTCTCAAAAGATATTCTGTAACAGTATAAACTCTCAACTTCATTCTCTTAGCTCAGGACCAACATATTCTCGAAATACACT